CAGATAATTAGAGTATTTTAACTGTATTATAGGGGTGGAATTGTGAAGGTGAAATTTTATTGGAATTTGCGAGAAACGTCTGGGGGATAATGTGTAAGTAATTAGTATGTATTTGAATTTTAAGTTCTCCCTCTTTTTATTAACATCTTTTCATTGTCTTATTTCAGATTCCAGTTAAGCACAGTAAGATAAACAAGTCCTTAAAACAAGTCCTTAAAATATCCTTTGTTATAAAAGTCTGAACTTGCACAACACTACTAGTAAGTAAGTAAGTAAAGTTTATTTATTAAGCGCTTTTCACAGACAGGCAGTCACAAAGCACTGTACACAAAGATTAAAATAAACAGTACAATCAATAGACATTATACACAATGTAAGAGGTTAAATGTAAATAATGTAAAGAATATAAAATACGTAGATCAACAAAAGGCTTGTTTGAATACAAAAGTTTTTAACTGGTTTTTAAAAGCACTCATAATGGAATCAAATTGGTCAACGAGGTGCAACCTTAGGTCAATGCTGGCGTGGAGTCGGGGGTTTCAGACATTTGTCACTCAGTTGCACACAAGCCACCAGTTAAAAGAAATGGCAGGGACTATTAGCTGAGTTTAGAAGTCAGTGAGACTTCTGTATCACTGGACAGAGCTCACGACTGCTGTACATCAGCTGTTGATTCACATCATACTGATACTGATGGTGGTGCTGAAGCTCCAACTACTGAGTTCCTAATAACAAGTTTAAAATACTGTGCTTCAACATTTTCAGTCTCTTTAGTGGCACTGACTGCAGTCTTGGGCATTTTGCATGTGTTTCACCCAGAATTACCCAAAGATGGATGGTAGGGATAAAACATGGATGGTGGGGAATACCATCATTTTGGTTTGGATACAGCTGGTGGACTCTTTAGGCCTTTAGATAACTCTCAGGATTTCCTTATGAAAATGAAATTTCTTGCACAAGCTTCACTTGTTTTTAGAACAAACTGTGAAAAGGTTTTCAGAAAAGCTTCATGTAAAGGTGTCACAACTGAAAAAAGGACACAGGTTACTGCACCTGCATTATGATGCACTTGTGGCTCAGATAGGCCATTCAGAACAATACAGAAAGGTAGTAACTGAAAAGTGCACCCTGTCTTAAGGAGTACAATTTGTAGATGGCACTGCTGAAACATGCTAATACTTTTCTGAAGGTTTTGTTATAACAAGTCTTACTTCCAGTACCCCCAGAATTGGATGCTACCGAGTGTGGCGGTTGAACTGCAGGCTTGGTGTAACAAAGCTCCAAAACTTTACTAGGAAATATCCTTTATGCCCTGACAGCACAACATTGATTGCCATCCTTGTCAAACATTAATCTTTTTTTTTTTTTTATCAAGCTCTAAAGCCAGTTAATGAACTCATTATTTATTCTTTTCCCCCTAGTTATCATAGACAGGATAACTTAAAAAAACAAAAAAAACATGAAGTGGTGCATTATGCAGGTCAGTATTAGTGACACAGAAATTGTTCCTAGCTCCTGGATAATTACAGAGGAGCTTTCATGACCCCCATATCCTCCTCGAGAAACATCCAAAGTCCACGCTGCAATGAAGAGGACAATGATCCCAACGAGTCATGGCAAATGTATGAACCAGTCAGAATTCTCATAAGCCATGGTGATTATTATCAGCATAGGTGTTATGATATTTTAATATAACAGCTGGTTTGGGTGACTTATGGTCTTCAAAGGTACAGTGGGATGCAAAAGTTTGGGCAACCTTGTTAATAGTCATTATTTTCCTGTATAAATCGTTGGTTGTTACAATAAAAAATGTCAGTTAAATATATCATATAGGAGACACACACAGTGATATCTGAGAAGTGAAATGAAGTTTATTGGATTTACAGAAAGTGTGCAATAATTGTTTAAACAAAATCAGGCAGGTGCATAAATTTGGGCACTATTGTCATTTTGTTGATTCCAAAACCTTTAGAACTAATTATTGGAACTCAAATTGGCTTGGTAAGCTCAGTGACCCCTGACCTACATACACAGGTGAATCCAGTAATGAGAAACAGTATTTAAGGGGGTCAATTGTAAATTTCCCTCCTCTTTTAATTTTCTCTGAAGAGTAGCAACATGGGGGTCTCAAAACAACTCTCAAATGACCTGAAGACAAAGATTGTTCACCATCATGGTTTAGGGGAAGGATACAGAAAGCTGCTCCGAGATTTAAGCCGTCTGTTTCCACAGTTAGGAACATACTGAGAAACTGGAAGACCACAGGCTCAGTTCAAGTTAAGGCTCGAAGTGGCAGACCAAGAAAAATCTCGGAGAGACAGAAGCGACGAATGGTGAGAACAGTCAGAGTCAACCCACAGACCAGCACCAAAGACCTACAACATCATCTTGCAGCAGATGGAGTAACTGTGCATCGTTCAACCATTTGGCGCACTTTACACAAGGAGATGCTGCATGCGAGAGTGATGCAGAGGAAGCCTTTTCTCCGCCCACAGCACAAACAGAGCAGCTTGAAGTATGCTAAAGCACATTTGGATAAGCCAGCTTCATTCTGGAATCAGGTGCTGTGTACTGATGAAACTAAAATTGAGTTATTTGGTCATAACAAAGGGGCGTTATGCATGGAGGAAAAAAAAACACAGCATTCAAAGAAAAACACCTGCTACCTACAGTAAAAAATGGTGGTTCCATCATGCTGTGGGGCTGTGTGGCCAGTGCAGGGACTGGGAATTGGGAGTTGAGGGACACATGGATTCCACTCAGTATCAGCAGAATCTGGAGACCATAGTCCAGGAATCTGTGACAAAGCTGAAGCTGCGCCGGGGCTGGATCTTTCAACAAGACAACGATCCGAAACACTGCTCAAAATCCACTAAGGCATTCATGCAGAGGAACAAGTACAACGTTCTGGAATGGCCTTCTCAGTCCCCAGACCTGAATATTATTGAAAATCTGTGGTGTGAATTAAAGAGAGCTGATTGCAGATTGGTTGGGTGGTGCAGGACGCCAGATATCCACCTCCATCCTGGTGTAAACAAAAAACAGGGAATTTAAAGTAATATGTTAAAGAAAATAATGTTTTTTATAAAATAAACTTTTTTCTTAAGTGATGCAAAGATCTTCATTGTCATTTTTATATTAGATAAACCCTTATGCTTAAAAATGTTTAAAAACTGTTCAATTGTAACAGAATGGTTTACAGATAATGTTTATCCTTTTTTTACATGATGCATAATATTTTTCCCCACAGGTTTAAATAATTTGCAGTGGTTTGATACTGATTGAAATACCTGCAAAGTCCTGTTTTAATCCTGATTTCCTTGTTGGTTCAATATTAAATGTAAAAATGTGATGAAAAATGTCAGATTTCAGCATTGAATAAATTAAAATAATGTTGATAATCTGATATTGATTTAACATTACTTCAAGTGAATGTTCACTACCATGGAAGCCTCCTGATATAGGACCTCAGTCTTATTTTTTTTTTTCTGTTTTCATTATTTGTTTGTGCTTGTCTTTGAACTCACAACACACCCTTACTAGGCGATAACTGATACTGCTGAGCAGTGTGTTGTCTTCCATCAGATCCCTATGAGGAATCAAAAGAACTCTGAAGTGTTGATATTTAAAAAGAATCAATAACTTGATCAGGGGGTTTTGTTTTGTTTTTTTCCCTGCAGGTGCCATACAGCAAGGAGGAATATTTGAGCCCCATTGAGAAATTCATCCACTTCTCCATGCACGACCCCTCAATGCTGCAAGTGGCCATGAAGCTGATCGACTTCATGGGGCGGAGCTTGGACTTCGGGAGGCAGCAGTGTGACGGGATTCTAAAGAACGATCAGTTGATGGCAACTCTGCGGGATGCCGCTTTCGACGTGGTCCTACTTGACTCCTTGGTAATGTGTGGCGACCTGGTGGCTGATGTGCTCGGCGTGCCGCTCGTCATCTCGCTACGCTTGAGCTTAGGCAGTGTTTTTGAGCGTCACTGTGGCCACGCTGTGTTTCTGCCGTCTTATGTCCCGGTAGCTCCTGTGCTGTACAACGACCACATGACGTTCACGGAGAGACTAATCAACTTGGTGACATATGTGGCGTCATCAGTGCTAACCGAACTGGGCTGGAAGCTGACGATGGATAAATACTACAGTGAGATTAAAGGTCAGAGGTGAAATCATACTGATGTCATCGTCTGTCTGAATTCATGAGGCATAAGGAATAAAAGTAAACTAATCCAAGCTTTTATTTTGAAGTCATACTCCTTATTTGCTGTATAAACAGGAACTCCCACCAGTGTGTGTGAGACTCTGGGGAAGGCTGACGTGTGGCTCATCAGGACGTTCTGGGACATCGATACGCCACGGCCAACCCCACCCAACTTCAAACACGTGGGTGGTCTGAACTGCAGACCCGCCAATCAGCTGCCAGAGGTGTGGACTCTGATCATTGACAGTACTTGTATTCTGAAATGACACAGTTAAATGATGATGTAATGATGATGTCACACCTTACAGGACCTGGAGGCTTTTGTGCAGAGTTCAGGTGATGCTGGTGTAGTCGTTGTTTCTTTTGGCTCCATGGTACCCAATCTGACGATGGAGCGCACCAACGTCATCGCCACCGCCTTAGGACGAATCCCTCAGAAGGTCAGGGCACTCACAGGCAAACAGAATATGGGTTATCATATCACTGCATCCATTGCAGAATGAATGTATTTAAAGCATTTTAGCATTGAAAAAGTGCTAGTACGAATGGATGAATGAGGAAAGCTCAGTAAAGTGCTTTGAGTGCAAGAACTTTACCTGGATGTTTGTTGGTTCTTTGAACCAATGAGTATATCATTCCTTTCAGGTGATTTGGCGTCACCGTGGTGAAGCTCCACCTGCACTTGCGCCAAACATAAAGATTTCTGATTGGATCCCTCAGAACGATCTGCTCGGTGAGACTCATTTATGTTATTATAGGATTGTATAGAAGGGTTTTTTTTTTTCGTTTTTTTTTTTAATTGAAAAGGTGATTAGAAACTGAAATTATTGTGCTGTTTAAAATGAATAAAAAATGTTTTTAAAAAGAAATGAATTAAAATAATTCTAATCAAATTTTTTTAAGTTTCAGACTTGTGACCTTGCTTTTGTGTTGTGGGCGTGTATCCAGGGGGAGGGACAGGGCGTAGACTAATGATAGACAGCTCCTGTGTCACATTTGTTGCAAATTAAAGACGCCATAATACATTTTTAAACATATGTATATTAACATGGTACAAACATTCACCTGCTAATATATTCCATCATAGAATAATCAGAAATAGTGTTTACCTGTTGGCTGCCGTCAGCCTGGGAAGTGGTGGCCATCTTCAACCAAACTGCTAATTTATAAATTGTCAAACATCAGTCTGTGCCCCGCCTCTTCCTCTTGATACACGCCCACAACAAAATAATTCATTTGTTTTCTGAAACACATTTTTAAAAAAAAAAATTTAAATAGCAAAACTTGAATTTCAGTTTCAAAGCACTTCTTCAGTCAAAGCGAACCTTTTCACCTTGATTTAGCTCAGTGTGATTTCAAAAGAAAAGCCTAACACGGCCTATTTTTTCCAACATTTTCAAAAATCTTTGTTAGGTTCTTTCACAGTTACAGTTTTGTTTATTTCCCCCCCTCAGGTCACCCGAAGACACGAGCATTCGTGACTCATGGCGGCACTAACGGTCTGTACGAAGCTGTGTTTCACGGCGTGCCTCTGGTCGGCTTGCCGGTGTTTGGCGATCAGTCTTATAATCTTAACCGTATGAGCCACCTCGGCACTGCCATCGTCCTCGACTTCAACAAAGTGACAGCCAAGGAGCTGGCAGAAGCACTGCATGCCATCGTCAACCAGCCGAGGTAAGGGTGATTATACTGTGAAAAATGTATTTTATGTACATTTCTGTGCAAAGACAGATCTCCATGCACTTGGACCGTTACTAAATTTTGATTTCCTGTGTTTGACCCTGCTCCGTCACATTAAAAGTGCACTTTTGTTTAACAATGAAACAGCCATGTGACTTCCTGTACGTTTCCCATGATGCACAGCTACAAGACCAGCATGCAGCGTCTGTCGGCGGTGCACCGCGACCAGCCGGTGACGCCACTGAATACTGCCGTCTTCTGGTTGGAGTTTGTTATGAGACATGGTGGAGCTAGGCATTTGCGGTTGGCTTCACATAATCTGAACTGGTTCCAGTACCACAGCTTGGACACAGGCGCTGTCCTGCTCATCACTTTGATGACTGCCGCTGCTTTGTGTTGGGTGGTCATACGCTGCTTCCTGCAGCAGTGCAGACGACGAGGAGGAAGAGAGAAGGAGGACTGAAGAAAGATATTTTTGAAGGTAAATACATTGCAAAAGGTGATAGGTTGCTTGGGGCAGAAGAAATGGCAGTGGGGGTAAACCAGTCAGAAAGCAGAAGACCAAGAGGTCTCATTCCTCACTTTCCTCTGTCCTTCATGCTGGATTTACAACCAGAGCACGGAAGGTTACTGCAAGTTTCCTTACCTTTCCCAGGGTCTACTGTGCCTCTTACCCTATGAGAGCTGCAGGCTCCAGCCCCTCTTTAACCCCTTAAAAAGTGGGAGAAGATGGATGGATAGGAGTTTGCAAACTTTTAAGAAATGTTGCAAACATCCAAAAAGAAGAAAACATTTATTATACTTAAACCTGTTTAAACTTCTGCAAGGTGAAATAGTTGTCCTTCCTTTCCCTTGACGGCATGTGCTGAGAAAGTTTCAATAGTCCATCGATTTTCTGACTGCAGAAACTGACCCAAATTTTCCCTCCCTAGACACATTCAACAGTTTACCTCAGCAGGAGAAACACAGTTAAGAATGACTGCTAAACCACTAAAGTGATCCAGGTTGTGGAGTGTGCAGCTCACTGGGACGCTTACATAAAATGGGCGGTCGTTAATGAAATTTGTCTCACCCTGTGCTTTTCCTGCTAAAGGTCTTTAAGCCTCCAGGGACGTTTCACCTTTAAAACAGCACCTGTTATCTGCTAAGCCTGCTGTGAGGAGGGCTGCAGTGTAATGCAAGCAGATGGAGAATCATCAAAGCTGTTTTTCATGTTGTGTGTGGGGGTAGCAACTTTGATAGATGGTGCACTGACAACACAAACCTATGTTGTCTCCTTATTCTGCTTCTCTGAATGCCAAAATCCAATACTTTGTGGCATTTCCAAACTGTAGAATAGAATTGAACAACCCTTGTCACTGTACATGCACAAGAAAATTGTGGGTGCTCCACACCAACTTTACTGGAATAAAATATGAATAGTAGACAGCAACGAATAAATAAACAAGAGAAATATCATTATAATATTCAGCCTTTACCCTGGTGATGGTGAAAATGTTAACTGCAGATCCTGATCAAACTTACCTAGATGTGGCACCATGTGATTAAGTGCTAGCATAATTCAAATTCAATACAACAGACACATTTGTTCATCAATCTTTATTCACTTTGCACTACACTTTTCTCTCAGCAGGAATCAAACACGCCAATCTTCTTGACAATTAACGCATTCAATCATTTCAATCTTTATTTTAACCATTTTAAAACCTCTGCTTCAGCTCTGATGGATTAAATCCACTGCAGGTCACAAAGCCGAGCCTCTAGTGAAGCATAGCGAACATTTAAGTAGCATCAGTCTGTCATGGTGGGTCCTCAGCACAGCAGAAGCTTTACTTCTTACCTGTAGAAGAAACGGAAAGCAGGAATTAAACGCACTGCCAACAAAAAATATACACAGTATTTCTCTTAGCTCCCATTTAACTACCCCTCCTTGTCCCTTTCTTTTACCATGTAATTTTATCTTTTGTTAGTAAGTGGTGTTTCTATGCATGCAAATCTTTTGAGCCAGCAGTAACAGCTGGTTTACAGCTCAATATATATATTTCTTGAGACAGTGTGTCTACATCTTTAAGATTTTTAGGGGGGCATTTTTGCCTTTATAGGATAGTGAAATAGTAAAGAGAGACAGGAAAATGGGGCGAGAGGGGGCGGAAAAAAAAATGCAGCACAGGGCCGGAGGCCATCCTTGACTTCATCCTCACCCTCAGTTGGAGCTGTCCCTGAGCTGAGAAATGTCTACTCATTTCTAATCCTGTCTTTTCTGATCAATCCCAATGCAAAGCTCAGCATTTTCAGCTCTGCCTCCTGTCTTTTTATCAGTGGTACTGTCTCACAACCTTACATCACTGCTGCTCTCACTGTCATTTTTAAACGTTGCCATTCACTCCATCCTGCCTGCACTCTCCCCTTCACTTCTTTTGTACATTGGCCGTTGCTTTGAATGGCTGAACCCAGGTGTTTGAACCCGTTAGGTTCACTACCTCTACACTGTTACTCCTGCCTCCTCCTCATTTTCACACGTGTTCTGCCTTGCTTGGACTAACTTTCGTTCCTCTCTTCTCCAGTGCATACCTCCACCTTTATAGGCTCTCTTCCACCTGCTGCTTCCTCTGACTACAGATCATGACGTCATCCGCAAAAACAATATTCAACAGAGACTCCCGCCTGATCTCAGCCTGTCCATTATCACTGCAAACACAGAAGGGGCTCTGAACAGATCCCCGATGTGATCCCACACCCACCTTGAACTCATCTGTCACTCCTACAGCATACCTCACCACGGTCTCATTTTGAATCTGAAGTTACACAGAGACCATCAAAAGCTTTTTCTTTACCCAACAAGCATCAATAAGACAGATATTTAGGAGTAAACTGTTTGTAACTTGTCCTTTAAAATGCACACGCAGAAAGTTGATGACTGCCTTCAAGTGCTGATTAATGACAGAGTGAATTAAGGCAGATAAGGAAAACAAATCCTGAATATGTTAAACACGCTTTGTTGTCCAGATCAATACACAAACACCGAGCCTGGATGCAATGAAAACCAGTTAAAAACAAACCTGGTATCATCCACCCCAGCGCTGTTTTTCAAAACACCCTTCACAGCATGAAACCTGCAATAAATCCAGTCAGCACGACACAAGGCAGATCATCATGAAACAGGAAGGAGAAGAAGTTTAGTTTAAAAGATGCCGGGCTTTAATCGAGGGCCAGAAAGACGCCAGAAGGCTGAACACTACAAGTGTGCTGGCTCTAATACCGAATCCTCGGGAAAGCATCAAAACACTCTGCCCATTACTGAACACACTAACGAAGACATGCCAACAAGCCTCATATGCTCTGTGTGTGTGTGTGTGTGTGTGTGTGTCCTCTGTAGTGGTCCACACATGGAATCTATAATTCCTGATTCAGCCTCCCCACTTTTTCTTTTAACTTTCCTCATGAAAGACAAAACAGCCACGACTTTCTTCAGAGATGCGGAAGGACACACACGGAGATCAGCCAGAAATAAAATGAACAGAAACACAAACAAGATGAAGACAGAGAAGAAGAGAGCCATGTACCAAACAAAAACATCAATACGGTGACCACCAGAGACAACCACAGTAGAACAACAGAGAGGCGCTGGGACTGGACAGACCACAGGGGCTCGTGCTGTGTGATGTGGCCCGGCAGCAGGCTCTCTCCCTGGGCACGATGAGTGTCTGTAGTGGTCTCATGGGCTGGAGGGGGTGACCATCCTGAACTAATTGGATCATCCTTACATGCATCCTGATCCTCTGAGTCATCACAAATTCAGCTTTCAAAAAGCCATGTCCTATTAGCTGTGGTTTTGTGGTTTGTGTGTGTGTGTGTTTACCATGACATGAATCGTGTGCCTCAAAGCCTTCTGTTCTTTCTCAACATTAAATTTAAAAAAAAAAGGGGTGGTGGGGGGCAATGCTTCTTTCTGAGTTAAATGTGTTAGGAGCTTTTGCAGCTAACGTGTTTGGTGCAGTTCTGCTGTGCCTACAGGTTTTCTTTGTGCAGGACTGGAAGTTTAATTATTCAAACCGACAGCGAGGACTAAAAGAAGGCAGTGGACTCAAACTGGTATTTGTTTGATGCTTACTGGGATTTGAGAGAGACATGATTGTGAATGTCAGAGTTTCTTTCACTAATTTCAGATCAATTTTCAATCTTTTCCTCATAAATTTTTAATGTGAATGTTTATGTATTTGAAGTCCGTGTGAAATGACAGCAGTCCAGCACAGCGGGCCATAGATGAACGAGGAGAGGATCTTAAAGGGGTGAAATAATAAATCAACCATGTTTTTTTTCTTCTTCTGATAACTTTTTGGCTGAACCTCACTCATGATATCAAGGGTTGATTCCATGTGCTGTTGAAGATGCGTGAAACAGTTATTGTACCTTGTAACCTGTACTTTTCTTTTCTTTATTAAAAAAAACAAATAAAAAACAGTGTTACTTAAACACAGATCCTTTCTCTTTGTATGTGTGCTCTATTTTCTGTCCTGACCTGGAAGTTTGAGCCATTTAGGCACCTTGCCCGGGTCAGATCTGGCAGGTTTGGCGGCCTGGGTTTGTGTTAATGGATCTTCCTCGTTTTGTGTGGATCCGCTGGCTTCCACTGTAGGCTCTGGGGGAGGCAGCGGCTCCCTGAAGCCACCAGAGCTCGAGGAGGGAGTTGAGGACTGGAGCATGCAGCTGAAGTAGGAAGGGAAAGAACAAAAGAGAACAAAATGAATGACACGAGTATGAGAGGATGCTGCACTGAACAAAGTTGTCACATTTGTCTGAGTCATAATTAGTTGTAAAGTGAGTAAAGACAACATGCCATCTTATGCCAAAGGAAAATAGTCGCAAACTGAATGTTCGCCAAACTATGGAGACATCATCCACTGATCCTGAGGGCCTCTGTGATCCAGGCACTTTAGTTCATATCAATGAAAATTGATTTAAAAAAAACTGTTTCAGGACATCAAAGTTGGTTGATCAGTGTAATAAGTCTAAACTATCATAAAGAACATGTGAACACCAATGTTGTCCCTTAATTTCATAGATGAAAACTACAATCATGTAAAGGATACGACTAAATTTGAAAACTTGAAACAGACTGAATGTAGGAAAAGGGGAATCTTACAGATACAGTGATTTGTTTTGACCAACCATTTATCCCATATGGTGATTTTTCCGGTTACTGTCTACAGAAAATGCATTTTGTAATTTCCTCTGTCACCTGAACCTGTCACAGCTGGATCAGAGAGTATATCATGTATAACCAAAGTATGAACAGACCAATATATCAGCTGAATATCGATACTGGATTACATCTGGCTTGCTGTTTATGTCACCCTGTTTAAACAGAATAACATTTACTGAAGTGGACGATATTTAAGAACTTAATTCTTAAAGAGTAGAGTTTGAAAAAAAAATGCTCAAACAAGCACTTTCAAAATTAAAAAGTGACAGCATACCTTTCATATGATCTAACCACCTCTATCATATGCATGTTTGAAAGCTGAAACCCAAACCAAACTGTTCTAAAGCACAAAAAACAGATCAAACCTTCAGATCACCAATAATTACATTTCTTTGGAAACTGGCCTAGCTGTGTGTTGGGCCTATGCATAACTTCATAGACCATCACCTACAAGTTGTAGGTGTTTGCTGTCACCAGGGGGCAGCATCCAAAACATGTGGAACAACTAATCTGTTGCCTGTACTGCTGTTGGTCCTCCAATCAACCATGGAGAAGACATTAGTTACAACATATAATGAGATGAAGTGAGATTTGCAGCCACGGTCCGTTCTCACACTTCAGTGTTTGCGTTTCTCCCTCTACCTCATGAACTCTGATATGTTTTACTGGGCTATAAACCATCACTGCTGGTTTTCTGGAGGACTGCACACCACCATGTCCGAGTAGGATGCATACCAAGACCCTTGGATAACACCTACACCAATAAACCCAGTGCATCCTGCTTAAATAGGTGGAGTTTTGCTTTTGAAACTAGGATGTATTCCATCACAGTGAAGTTCAAGGTTGGTCAGAAAGAAAATACTCGTCAACAAAAGCAAAAATGTGGCTTTTCATCTTTAAAACCTATGAAAATCTAGCTCTGTGTTTTACTTCCAAAGTTATGAGGAATCACACATGCTGGAAAAATTTAAGTTTGACTAACCCTGAGCTTGAAGCTAAACGAGATAGTGATCTGAAACAGAGGCTTTGTTAATGGAGCTGAAGGACAACAGGTGGGGGTGAATTTTGGGACGCTGGCTCTATCTTTAGACAGACTGGAAAATGGTGTGCGTGTATGTGTTTGTGTGTCTGAGCGAGCGAGAGAGAATCTGTATGCGTGTGTAGGAAATGAGGGCGCATGGGGGCACCTGCTGTTTAGGCACAACCTCAAAGGGATTCCAATGATGACAGCTTTGTGACAGGAAAATAGGTTGGTTGCTGCGGGATACAAATGCATATATATACACACACACACACAACCAACTACACATTTAAAACACACACGGACACGTGCACATACCTTGCAATGGACTCGTTTGCTTGTACGGCTGAGACGGGGGATTCGAGCAGTTCTCTCTTCATGTAAAAATCTGTGGAGGAAACGTGCACACACACACACACACACACACACACACACACACACACACACACACAATGTAAGCTATTGTTTTGTTACATTACATTCCTCGATAATACACCAGTATCTAATCCAAGTCAGCATATGAAAGAAGGAAATCAAACAAAAACCTGTCTTGACATCAGAGCCGAAGTACACGAGCGCACCAGGAAACAGGTCGGCCTGCAGACACACAGAGGAGCAGAGCAGGAGTGAACGGAAGCTTCTAAAAATGTCTGGCACACATTACAATTTCTGCAAAACACGAAAGAATCCAAACAAAACCACCTCCCGCTACACGCAAACCGAGAGCTGCCGCCACATCCAAGTCAAAGTCAGGTTCATTTTTGGGGATGATTCATCGCTCGGGGGACCTGAACCAGCAACCGTTGGTTCTTTGAAGCCGACCACAAATTGAGCACCAATCAAATGGTTAGTGAAAACACTTTCACCCCTGAAGCACCACATTCCTCTCCAGTGATAGTCTTAATGGGTATAATGGGCCAGTTGCAGCCAGAAATGATCAACCGTACAATTATGAGGTGGAAATGCAGACAGACAGGCAGGCAGGGCACACGTCTGTCAGACTAAGAGAAAGGAAAGACAACATCTGCTGCACAGGAGCTTCAGCGAGTGGTCATCGTCGCCGCAATGTCTGCAGGTGTAAATAAGTCTGAGCTGAATTTAAGACTAGATTAGTCTAAAAAAAAAAAATGAGGATAGCAGCTGAAAGCAGGAAAAAACTTAAAGAGCTCAGTCAAAAATAATTCTAAATGTAATGCAATAATCAGGGTATTAAGTAAAAATCTAAAAAGATGAGGTGTAGGAGGTGAAAAAAAAAGACCTCAGCACACTAATGCTGCTGCGTCGTGAGGATTTCTAGGCACCAGCTTTTAAAACCAAGATTAATCTTTATCATTAAGCCATTCGTTGTTACACTCACATCTTCCTGAGGCCATCGAGCAGGCTGGCCAACAAGGCCTTCTTCAATATAATCATCATCAGGGTTTTTCCTCAGTGTGTCGTAAACCTCGAGGCCAAACGATCTAAACTGACCCACGCCTGGCTTGAGAATTTGTGCCTCTTTGTATTTGTATTGTTTTTTAGGCATGAGTTAAAGCTAGCTAATGTTACCTACTCTTACGAAACCTCAGTGTGTAGAAATAGTGGTGGTGGGTTCTGGAAATTATTTTAATTAAAACGTTTACGACCCATCCGAGCTGAATTTAAGACTATTCACGACTTCAAAAGGCCTTTTATTGGTAAGTGTGTATGTAAGACATTAAAACAAAATTAAAAACACTAAAGTCCTAAAGATGTTTCTGCTGCTTTCCCTCTTCCTTCATCTAGTTAACAGATCCTCTTACGACACACTGATGAGCAGCAGACGCTCCGCTCCAGGAATCCTGAAAGAACTGATCTGTTTATCACAGACACATACGTGCAGAGCTGTGAGAAAGTGACATGTGCCTCCTAAAGAGCTTTATTACCACGTAAACAAATGCCCTGAAAAAGAGAGGTTCAATAGCTTCCTTCAGTCTCACAGATGAAACTTCATAAATATTTTCTGACTCATAAGCAGGTGACAGAGAAAAAAGGATTGCTCTGCTCCATTTAAGTGCGTCGCACTGGATCAGCAACCAAAACCATTCCTAAAAATCTTTTTAGATTTATATGTGACAACCAAGAATACTAAAATACAACACTTAGAGCATCTTTTCACATAAATTACAACGTCTAAGCACCGCAGCGTTTTAAAATCCACTTTCTGAATCCCGACTTTCAACAGTTCTTACCAATACTACTAAAATCTCTAATAATCATCCTTTAAAT